AGTTTGCAGGAAGGAAAGGCCAAGGTCGGGGCAGGGTCGGGCAGCATTCTTGGCAAACTGGTCAGCGCAGGCGCTGGCGAGCCCAATTGGTTTACGTTCCACCATCGCTGAGCTGCCCGATCTCCTGACTTTCCATGGGCATTCGCATGCCAAGCCAACACAAGATGTTGGCCGGGCAGGCACCACGCAACCTTGGGCACTCCTGAAGCCTGGCTCCTGTCGCTGAGTTGCCTGGTAACCGACCGCGCAAACTGTCGGACCGCACTCGCGCAATAAGCTGAAACTGAATAACCAACTGCCCCTGATATTGAACCCGTGGGGGAAACAATCTGGGTCCAAGGGGGATCATGAACGATTTCCTGGAGATCGCAGCAGAATGGCGACTTGCGCAAGGTGAAATGGTGAGACCCCCACTGCCATGCCACACGTCTTTGATGATGTTGCTAGTCAGCATAAGAAGATACCATCTTCGATTCGCAACTTCCCCCGATAATAATATTCGGCCTTGCCCGCCCTTCTCCCCCGACCGAATCTGCATTTCTGCATTGGCCAGAGGGGGGTATGATTTATTACCCGGGGCATGCGGTTGCGCCCTATCAGCAATCTGGCCAGCCATGCACGTCGCTGCGCTTTCGGCACCGCTGAGAATCCGAGGGGGGGAAGGGGGGGGGGGGGGCTCCTGGCACGATGCCGTCCATATGCCCCGCGACCTCGCGGCCACGCGCATAGACCACTACAAGAGACAATGTTGCCTTCTCGAGTTCGCTGGGCACTGGCTTCATGCGCGGACCGCCCGCAGCGCGCTCGAGTTGCGGGGCTTCGGACATTCGGGCCGACTCCCCAAGCTGGATACCAGGTCGGTCTACGCAGCCGCCCCCGATCAACACATCACGGGCGCGCAAAGGCGACGATGATAAACCGCTCATCGTGGACGGGGCAGGCCCCATGTCACGCATCAGGCAATCAGAACGAATGCCAGCGGCGAGACAAACTTGCAGTCGCATTGGCTTCAGCGACGGCGGCAGGCACGCAAGGCGACATGCGCTGAAACCGCGGCGCCTCAAACAAATCATCCTCGCCGCGGTGGCACGGCCCGCCCGCGCGGCGCCCCGGCCCGTGCGTTCGGCCGCGGGCCCGCGGCCCCCTGGACAGCACAGCTGTCGATCGCAAACCCCGGGCGCTTGGAATGTTGCAGGCTGTCTCCGGCAACGACCCGCTGAGCGAGATCAGACGACGCTCGAATGGAGCAGAACGTCTCCGCCGTTGTCGGCGGCGCTGCCGAGGTGGGCGCTGAGCGACTGAAGCTGGGCAGCCAAGGCAGCGGCACGGCGTCGCCGCGCGCCGCTGAAAGGAGCGCCGCCAGCGTGAATCTGGCAGCCGCGGTGATCAGTCATCTCGTCACCGACTGCATCGTCAAGCCCGTTCGCTGGATCGCCGGCGCTGCCCGCAAAGCGGGCTTCGGCCCGCTGCCTAGCAGCTGCGCTGCTTGGGACGAACTGTCTGCCATTGGCTGAGGCAGGTGCTCAACGCTGACCGATCGTGGACCTCGCCGAAATAGAAGCGATCCAGGGTAAGCGGCGCCGCCACGCAGATGGGGCCACCGCCAGCTCGGCCGCACCATCGCCTTGAAGCGCAGGTTTCGAAAGGAGGTGCTGACGCTTGCGCGCGCAGGCAGCCCCCCCCCTCCATGGGCAGCTCGCGCCGTCGCCAACCCGCTGCCCCAGAGGCCTGCGAGTTCGGCGCCGTGGCGCGCCCTGGGAGACATGCCCACGTCGATGACGTTGCCTTCGTCGCGCGCCTCGTCGACGCTGGCCAGGTCGCGCCAAGAACACAAGAAAACAACACATGCCCAAAACAAACGGGCGGAGGGGAAAGCAATGGAAAAAAACAATAACTGACTTTCCAGAGAAAATTGCGGTGGGACAGAATAGCTCACGTCAGCCAGGTCAAACTCTCAATGACAAGCTGACGGCGGATCTTCTTTCAATCCGCCTCGATTAATTATAGCGGGCTGCGCCTTGGAATCAAGCGACTCGCGCGCGTTCCCGGGCGCCCCGCCCAGCGCCCGCAAGCGCTCCCAAGCGCGGGCGCAGGCGCCCCCGCGCGCCCCCCGGCGTTCCAACTCGTTCGCGCGCGGGCGCTTCCCCCCCAGCGCTCGCATGCGCTCGCAAGCGGGCGCCCCTGGGCGCTCGCGCGCGATCTCAGGCGCCTCCCGGGGCGCCTTGCGAGCGCCCGCGAGTGCGCGCGGTCACTGAGGCTTGCAATCTCACGCGAAAAAAAACAGCGATGGGGAAGAGCCAACAAAATTGCGGCGCGCTCGCCGGCCAAAATTAATTCAAAATGCCGGCGGCGGGGGGGGGCATTCAACGCCGCGGAGGGCGCCGAAGACACTTGGGTGATGCGGCCAGAACATTGCCGCACCATCGCCGCTCGCTCTCGCGCGAGGCGATATCCCTCGCGGCCGCAACATGCGGCGCCGGCCCCTGGCGCGCGCCAATCGCGCCCCCCGGCGCAGTCCACCCAGACGCGGACCGCGCCGACATTCGCCGCGGTCACCCAGGGCCCAGCCGCCTGCGCACCGCGCTGGCGAAGACAGAAGGTGCCCCTGCTGCGGTGCCTCTGCAAGCGCAGGATCCTCGGTGTCCTCCGCGTGTTCTCGACAGGCGCGAGGATGCCGATTGGCCAACCGCGCCTTGCGCGCTCGCCCCGCAAGTCCACCAGCTGGTCTAACTCGTTGTTCTTGCTGCAGCCAAAACCTTCGTGACTCCATATTTGGCCGTAGCAGCGTTTGCCCGGGCATCAACAACCCGGATCCAGGCGCAGCCCAGGGCGCCGCGACCCTCTGGGCGTCGATCTAGTCCAGCCTGGAAAACAGCCAGTCAGCGCCGCTCGCAGCAGTCGTCACGGCGGCCGGCGCACGCCCGCGCAGAGCACGATGACACGGTGCCTAGCAGCAACCTCCCCAATTTTTATCACAGGAGTGACAGGCCAGGTGAACTGCCGCCGCGTCGTGCCGAGCGCTTCCCGCCGAATGAAAAACACCGAGGCGGTCTCCATCGCGTCGTCGCCCAGCGCGCCCGCTCGCGGGCGGCTGGCTGATGCCCGGGCGCGCGCGGGAGTAGAACCAGCAACCTGCTCGAGCTCCGCCGCGCTCGGCGGCGGCAATGCAGCGCGGCCGGGCGCCCGAGCCCACGATGGCGCGGAGCGCCCCTCCGCCGCGCATTGCGCGTCTCAACCGGGGCTGAGGCGCGCAAGGGGCCGCGCGCCAGCGCGTCGCGGGGGCGGGCCGAGCGGCCGCGGGCGCCGTTGACCACCGCGGCCGCGCGAGCAGTCAAGCACCTCGTCGTCTCGCGCAACGCCCGAGCGCTGACGGAGCTCGCCATCATGCCATCGCGCGCCGGGCCGCCTGCCCCCCATGGGCCTGCCTCGACTTCCCGCCGACGGGCCAACCCCTGGAAGGAGTCGCGCGCATCTGGGTCGCCCCAGCGTTGAATAAAAGCCCGCGCCTCCAGCGCCGCGCCGTCGAGGCGGGCGACGGGCTCTCGCCCGCAATGCTCCGCAGAGGCCGGCGCGGGCACCCGTCGGCGCGAGCGACTCGTTGCAGATTGGCCAGGCGCGAGCTCCGTTGGAAGCCGCCGCTGGCCGAGGGAGACGCCGGGGCGCCCGCGGGGCCTGGCGCGGCGCGCCCCGCGGCCGCCCAGCGCGCTTGCGGCGGCCGAGCAAACGCGCATAAGTCGACCGCGACGCCGATCTGTCGACCGGCCACCGATGCGAGCGCGCCCCGCGCTCGCGACATCCAGCGCCCGCAGATCTACGCGCTGACCCTGGGGCCGCGGCGCGGAGCGCGCCCGGCGTCGACTGCTCTGCGCGGGCCGGGCCGTGAAAGGCTCTGGGGCCCAGGCCCCGCCGCTGCCCTGGCGGGGTGCCCCAGGCTGGGCGCGCCCCCCCAACAGGGAACTGCGCTGGTCGACGGGGTCGTCGGGCCCGCTTCGGGCCCGCTGCAACCGAAGCGAAGGCTCGCGACGCCGCCGAATGGCGCGACGCAGTCGACCGCGGCGTTCCCGGCGCCGCCTCTGCAAGCGATTGCAGCAGGCGCCTGCGACGCGGGGCCGCTTGCCACGGCGCCCCCAGCTCGCCGCGGCACCGCCGCGCGCGACGAGAGCATGGGGGTCGCGGGCCGGGGCGCGCGGCGCCGGCCTTGGCGAGTGAGGCCGCATTCTGGTCATCTGCTAAGAGTTGCAGGCGCGGGGCGCGGAGCCCGGCGGCCCGCTGGCCGAGGTTGGCAGCGACGCGCTGAATCCCGCGTCAACGCGCAAGCGCGCGGGCGCAGGGCGGCGCGCCAGCAGCGGGCGCGCTCGGCAGCGCAAGCGCGCCATCCCCTTCCTTGCGCCCGCGTGCTCGGCGCCTCCATGCGTCGTCGGCGCGGCCTGCCTCCCGGGCCGGCCGCGACTCCGCCGCGGCGGCGGGGGGGCCCGTCGACAGCGCGCGCGCGCCTCCAGCAGCGTTGAAGCTCTCCAGCGTGCGCGACGAGAAAGGCCATCGCGCCCGCCTGCGTCGGGGCCTCGGCCGCGGCGCCGCAGCCCTCGCGCCCGCGCGCCACGTCCCGCCCCATCGAACCGAGCGATTCTCAGGCGCGTCCTCCATCATTGATGCGGGGCCCGCCCAGGCGCCGCTCGCGCCCGTCGCGGCCGCGGAGTCGCCCGCGACGCTACTGGCATCAGGCATCCGCCGATCGACGCGGCGAAACTCGGTGACCAGTTGCTCGTCGCCCACGCCGCTGTCTTTGGAGAGCGGCCTCCACCTTCAGCTATGGGCAAGCGGCCATAGGCATGACGCCCCCCCCCCCCCCCCCCCTCGCATGGCAGAGCGCGACCGTTTCGCACATCGCTGAACGCGAGGAAGCCGCCAGAGGTATCACTAGCGCCGGCAGTGGAGCACTCGCTGCAGAGCCCGCGGCAAAAACAATGCCCAGTTTGACATTGCTATGTTGCCGCGCGCGCAACTTGCTCCGAGCGTCGGTTTGCAGGGAGGCCTCGACGTCAGAATCGCTGACGTCGCCTGGTGAGACTTCAAGCGACGGGGCAGACATTCCACCGCCCATCGTCGCGGCTTTGGCAGCGAAATCAACGTTGAACAACTCGATCTCCAGTCGCTTAATCTCCGCCGCCCCAGCGCGCTGCCAGATGGACCGCTGGGGCCGCCCCAGGCAGGTTGCGGCTACTGCCGCCCGGCGCATCCTGAACTGCGGCGCGCGCGCACGTGACATCGCGCGCGCCCGTTGCGCCCGCCAATGAACCGTCTGAATTGAAAGTGCACCCTTACGCTCGATCTTCGCCGCGTCGACATCGGCCTGTATGGAAGCTCGTACATCGGCGAAATCGGCCTCATCAGGGATCAGCGCCAGCGAGATCTGCAGATTGCCCATATTCGCGTTGATGGCCGCGAACTGCTTGGACTGCGATTGGCCGCCGTCGTGGAATGCGAGCCTCCGCCGCGCCAGCGTCACCAAGGAGAGGCCACCCATCGCCCGTCTGCAGCGATGCGACGAGCGTGTAGAAGAACCGCGCTGTGAGCCTGGCCAGCTCCTGCGGTGCGCCGCCATGGGCAATGCCTGACATCTGAGGCCCCGCACAAGCAGACCACTCGGCTGACCCAGTTGGCAGGCCGCTGGCAGCGGGGGCATCTCCAGTGGGGCGTGCACGCTATTATCAGCACATCGCCGTCTGCCTTGTGCAAGGACGGTGCAGCCGTGGCTTTCGAACGACAACGCACATCGCTAACAGCGCCCACATTTGCAAACCGCGGCCTGCCCGACCAGGGGTGGACATTGAAATTGGAAGGCGCGGGGGGCGCTCTTGAGCCATCTACTGGTCGTTGTATCTGGGCGTTTTTTTTTGAACGAGCCGGAGACAACCTGCATTTTCCACGTGCATGTTTCGATGTCGTGCGTTTTTGTTGTTCGCAAGATGAGCCAACATGCTCCTCGATGGTCCTCGCCAAACAAAAACATGCACACGCCCGAGCAATGCGAAGTCCTTGCAGCACATCGCCGTCTGCCTTGTGCAGGGGCGGTACAGGCAACGCGCCCCAGCCTCCCGGCTCGTCGCGCCGACCTGCGCCCGCGGGAGTTCGCGGAGCGCGCCCTCGCGCGGGGCGCACGGCGCGGAGGGGTGTCCTCCACGGCGGACACACACAGACACACAGACACACACACACACACACACACACACACACAGAGACACACACACACACAGACGCGCGTACACACACACACAGCAGCTGGCTGCGGAGCAGCAGCGCACACACAAAACAGCTGGGTGCAGAGCAGCAGCAGCCCCTGGGCCAGCGGGGAAATCCAGAATCTTGAGCAAGTGGACACGGACGCGAGAGGAGGAGGAGGAGGAGGAGGAGGAGGAGGAGGAGGAGCAGCAGGAGGCGGAGGAGGAGGAAGAGGCGGCGAAGGAGAGTGAAGAGAAGATCCCGGGGTGGCCTGGAAAGGGGGGGGGAGCCAAACATCAAAAAGTCTTGATCCAAGTTCCAAAAGACAAAGGAAAAAGAGGGGGAGGACCACTGACCCATGACAGAGATAACAAGAAGGATGAAGTTGGAAACGGAGGAGGATGCGGATGGGGAGGGACAATCTGAACACGTCTACCCCCCCCTTCGGCGAAGGCCGGCTTCCAGGGCCCCAGACCGTCGAACAGCCGATCCGACACGAAGGGCTGGCCAGGAATGGATCTGGAGGCGTCTGCGAACAAGTCCTGGACTCTGGGTGGGTTCCGGTCAGGAGGACGAGGAAGATGGTCAAGAGGTGGTTAAACGTTGTTCGCCCTTTCCGGCCCTCCGGGAGGCTTCTCGCTGCCGCGGGCAAGTCCAGGAGCCGATATTTCAAAGACCAGCTCAGGAGCCGATACTCAAAAGAGAGAGGGGAAGAGAAGGAATGAGGCCTTTGGGTCGCTTTGAAGCCTTTCTCGGGCTCGGGAAGCTCCCGAAAGCACCCGAAAGCCCCCTGGGGGCACGGGAATATCCGGAGGAAAATCTGGAAAACCCGGATAAGGACGCAGACTTCCGACATCGTGATGCTTTCGATGCTTGCGTTGTTCCCCTGATGCCAGCCTCCAAGGACCTGCTTTGGATCCCATGGCTGTCGAAGAACGACCTGGGATGAAAAACCGAGGACCAGGGCGAGAGTTCCAGGGACCCCGTCTTGAACAAAGCATGACATCGGAGTTCTGTGAAGGATCGTCGAGAGGACGCTGCTCAGGGCCAGCACCATCTAGGCCGTTTTCTTGGTGTCCCGGGGGAGGAGGGAGGGGAGGTGGAGGATGACGAGAAGGAGGGGGAGGAGGAGGAAGAGAAGGAGCATGAGGGCGAGGATACCACCCAAGAAAAGGAGGAGGGTTCAGGCGCCTCGGCATGCCCGGGGCGCTCTTCATTGCGGCTGACTCTCTTCCCGCTCCCGAGGACTCCTGAGCCCTGAGCCAATTGGTTACGGACTCATCGTCATCCACTTCCTGCTGGTTTTGCTCCTCCTCCTCCTCCTCCTCCTGCCTCGTTCTGCCGTCTCCCCCAACTGTTCCACCTTCTCCTCCTCCTCCTCCTGAGCCTAGGATTTGTCCTACTCCTCGTCCTCTTCCTTCTCCTCCTCCTGCTCATCATTATCATCATCATCAGCATCATCAGCATCATCATCAGCATCATCATCATCAGCAGCATCAGCATCAGCATCAGCATCAGCATCAGCATCAGCATCAGCATCAGCATCAGCATCAGCATCATCATCATCATCATCATCATCATCATCATCATCATCATCATCCATCATCATCATCATCATCATCATCATCATCATCAGTATCATTCATAATCATTACATGAGTGATCAGCATTATCATCATCAGCATCAGCATCATCAGTATCATCATTTCCTAATTCATCCTCATCATCATCATCATCCTATCATCCTCATCATTCATCCTCATCATCTTAGTCCCCTTTTCTCGCCTCTGAGAGCGTACTACTGAATCTGCCAATTCCTTTCCTTTTCCCTGTTCAAGAGCTTAGTCATATTAGTTTCGATCGTGTGAGCTTACTTCCCCTTTCTTCCTCCCCTCGCCTACACCTCCTGCCTCTCTCCTCATACCTCCCTCCTCCTCCTCCTCCTCCTCCTCCTCCTCCTCCTCCTCCTCCTCCTCCTCCTCTTCGTCTCCCTCATACGCGTCATCATCTTCCTCCTATTCCTCCTCCCCCGTCTCATTCTTCCCTCTTTCCTTCTTGCCATCATTCTCATCTTCCTCATTCTCCTCGTCCTAAAATTACTTATGATCCTTACTCTCTTCATGGTCATGCTCCCCGCAGAGCGTGCGGAGACGAGCCTAGGCACAATGCACCGCTCAGGATATGCAAAATGGGTGGTCGCGAATGGGGCTGCCACAGCATGCGATTAGACGGAACGTTAGAAAACACCCCCGTGGGCATGAACAATCAAGGTTACTGACAAGTTGGAGAATTATGGAATCAAAGGTAAACCAATACTTCATTGAACAACTATGTGTAACTTCATGAGATCCCATTGTGATTTGATGGCTTCGTTTTACAATGCTACGCTGACTAAGCTACAAAGGAAACGCTTGAGCACAGTGGACTGTCGAGCAATGCTGCCAGGCAGGGACACCAGCTCAATAGAGAACAGTTTCCCGAATAGACACGATATAGCCCTGACGGTGACATCACCGCGCGTGGATGTCGAGGCGCACGAGTTGACATATTTGTAACACCCGCCGTAACCCTTCCTGATCCTCGAGCCTCGATCCTCGATCCTCGATCCTCGAACCTCGAACCTCGAACCTCGGACCTCGAAACCTCGATCCTCGAATCCTCGAAACCTCGATCATCGAAGCCTGGATCCTCGAACCTCGAAGCGTCGATCCTCGAAACACCCTGAGTCTCGATCCTCGTAGATTCCAGGGCCTCGAACCTCAAAAAACGCAGGTCGGCCGCGCAGAGCCTCCCGCGGAGCACTCGTGCTTCTGCGGGCGGCGGCGGCGCACGAGAACTCTCTGTGCACGTCTGCCTCTGGTCTTGCCGACCGTTGGAACGGCACGCTGGCCCCTGCCCGCCGCAGGACGTGGCCCCCCCCCGGTGCCACCGACGAGCGCGATGGGGCGAGGGAGGAGAAGAATGAGGCTCGAGCACGCGCTGGCCGGCATCCGCGAGGGCCTCACCGGAGCGCCGGTGCGAAGCTCCTGGCCTGTGGGCGCGCTGCTGGAGCATGGCATTGCATTCTGCTCGCCATCCTCCACTTCCTTCACGCCCTCCTCCTCCTCCTCCTCCTCCTCCTCATCCTGGCCCCCGTCCTCTCACTTCATTTTAAAAAATGTATTGGCCAGCAGTTGCCAGCCGCGCAAAGCCTCCAGGAGCAGTCATGCTTGTGGCGTCGGAGGCGTGTTCAGGCGCAGCTGCGGTCCGCGCAGAAGCAGACCAGTTTGCAGTGACCAATGGTAGCTAGCTTGATCGTTGGTGTATACCTCTGCGTGCAGCCACTGGCTCGTGGGCGTGCTGCGTTGCAAGGGAATGCCTGGTATTCTGGCAGCACGCCCGCGACATGACCCTGACTTTGGATCTGGGGTACTTTGGGCGATCTCGTAAGCCGTCTTCGTCGTCGTCCGTCGTCGTCGTCGTCGTCGTCGTCGTCGCCATCGACGTCGACGTCGTCGTCGTCGTCATCGTCTGCCGCCATCGTCGTCCATCGTCGTCGTCCCCTGCTGTCGTCGTCGTCCGTTCGTCGTCGCCGTCGTCGTCGTCGTCCGTCGTCGTCCGTCGTCGTCGTCGTCGTCGTCGTGGTCGCCCTGCGTCGTCGTCGTCGTCGGTGGTTCGTCGCCGTCGTCGTCGTCGCCGTCCGTCGTCGTCGTCGACGTCGGTCCGTCCGTTCGTCCGTCCGTTCGTCCGTCCATCCGTCCGTCCGTCGTCGTCGTGGTCGTCGTCGTCGTCGTCGTCGCCGTCGTCCGTCGTCGTCGTCGTCCTCCTTCGTCGTCGTCCGTCGTCGTCGTCTTCGACAACGACGTCGTCGTCGTCGTCGTCGTCCGTCGCCGTCGTCGTCCATCGTCGTCGCCCGTTGTCGTCGTCGTCATCGCCCGTTGTCGCTCGTTCGTCGTGATCGTAGTCGTCCGTCGTCCGTCGTCCTCCTTCGTCGTCGTCGTCGTCGTCCGTCGTCGGTCGTCTGTCGTCGGTGGTCCGTCGTCCGTCATCCGTCGTCGTCGCCGTCATCCGTCGTCGTCGTCGTCGTCAGTCGTCGTCGTCGTCGTTCGTCGTCGTCCGTCGTCCGTCGTCGTCGTCCCCGTCCTCGTCGTCGTCGTCGGCCCCCTCGTCGTCCGTCGTCGTCGTCGTCCGGTCGTCGCCGTTGTCGTCGTCGTCGTCGGTGCGTCCGTCCGTCCGTCCGTTCGTCCGTCCGTCCGTCCGTCCGTCCGTCCGTCGTCGTCGTCGTCGTCCTCGTCGTCGTCGTCGGTCGTCGTCCGTCGTCCTCGTTCGTCGTCGTCGTCGTCCGCCGTCCGTCGTCCACCGTCCGTCGTCCGTCGTCCTCGTTCGTCGTCGCCGTCGTCGTCCGTCGTCCGTCGTCCGT